AGAAGAAGAAGAAGAAGAAGAAGAAGAAGAAGAAGAAGAAGAAGAAGAAGAAGAAGAAGAAGAAGAAGAAGAAGAAGAAGAAGAAGAAGAAAAAGAAAGAAAAAAAAACAACAACAACAACAACAATAACAACAAGATCAAGAACACGAAGAACAAGAACAAGAAGAACAAGAAGAACAAAAAGAACAACAAGAACAAGAAAAAGAACAACAACAACCACAACAACAACAACAACAACAACAACAACACAAAAATAACGACAATAGAAATAGTAATAACAACAATAACAACAGCAATAATAATAACAACAACAAAACTACAAAAAATATACAGTTTAACAAAACGACGGATTAGATCGCATGCTTACCGAGACTTCAAACTGTTCCGTTCTTGAGTTTAGTCATATTAAGTCAGAGAAAGAAAGATATTATATATTAATACATTATAGCTGTCTGCAAATTTTACTTGTGGTGGCTACGTTTTTACACCTTAATCGACACTTTAAAAAATCATTCAGAAGCCGGTTTTTTCGATCCTGACTGTGGGCCTTGGCTGAGGATACAACATCTCAGCAAATAGACGGAGATACTCGACAAAAACAAACTTCTAGTCACACTCGGGAATCGAACTCACATCTCGTGTGAGAAGCCTAACCTTACACCACAGACACTAATAGTAATAATGGGCTTCATGCTTCAACTTCCAAGTAGCAAAAAGATTAATTTCACCGAGAGAGCTGTGGATTAGTAGTGGTCTCCTGCCCAATGCAGGGATGTTGGTTGTTTGTTGTTGTTGTTGTTATTGTTGTTGTTGTTGTTGTTGTTGTTGTTTTTGACTACATGGGCCTTCACTAAACAGCTTCTCAGTTAGCGAAATAGTTGTCTTTGTCATGGACAGGCCTTTACTATACGGAAGAAGTCGCAAGCAAAACTGGCTTGGTTTTTGTTCGTTTGTTATTTAGTTAGTTTGTTTGTTCGTTGTTTGTTTGTTTGAGTAAAGAGAAGCACATCTACACAACAATGGTCCTTTATAGTGCGGTCCAAAATTCATGGCGCAACTTATTCTCCAATAATAATAATATCTCTTTAACAGGTGAATCAATGC